AGGTTTATGTTTTTTTTTTGTTTTTTTTTCCATCTCCAACATGTTCCAGGCTCTCTGATGGGTGATCCAGTGGTGATGGTCAGCCTTTACCCAGAGTTCCCCCAATCAGTGATGTCCTCACTCGCCACCTGTGGAGAGTTTGTGTTCTTGGTGGATCGATCAGGAAGTATGGGCTGCAGCATGAATAACAGCACACCACAAGAAACTCGTATTAGCAGTGCAAAGGTATTTATCCATGTTTTACTGGGATAGTTCAAATTACTTTAGAAGGGCTTTTGTTGAGAGTTGATGATTTACAATATCTTACGTCATGTAAGATATTACCAAATGTAATATCTTACAAAATCTAGTGTCTTACCTCTTGTAAGATATTACGTTTAGTAATATCTCACAATAGATAAGATATTAGTCATCACTTCTTAAGAGACACCTGGTTGTCAAACAAATATATGTCTTTTTGGACTTTACGAGCCACCGTAGCTGAGGGATTGTGGTTAAAATTAGCATGTATGTTTTGCGCTACTTCACGGGGTAATTGCAGTGAAATCGTACCTGATCTAACCATTGCAATTTTTCCACAACGATCCAAACCAAATAGTGCAAAACAAATCCTCATTCTTGTGTCTGACAAAAATAATGTGTGAATATTTCTTAATCACTGACTGACACAAACTACTGCTGCACCTTCAAAGAATCTTAAATACATTAATTAAATTGAACTACACCATTATGTAATTTGTTTCCTTCTCTCTCTAAGTGTGTTCTTCACTTCTTGTCTTTCTTTAGGACACTCTGCTGCTCCTGTTGAAGAGTTTACCAATGGGATGCTACTTCAACATTTACAGTTTTGGATCCTCCTTTGAACACATCTTCCGGTGAGTGACATCTAACTCCCAATCCTCAACACCAAGTTTCAACAAGTTTCTTTTTTTATTTCATTTTCCTTTTACTAACCCTTCCACAGAAGATTTCATGTAAAACTGTAACTTGGTGATAGTTTTAAGAGATTATAGCCGTTTTGTGGCTTTTGATATTTATCATGATTTTATTTGACATATCTCCTACTTTTCTGGCAGTACGAGTGTGGAGTACAGTGAGAAGACCATGAAGGAGGCTCTGGAAAAGGTTGAAAAGATGGAGGCTGACCTTGGAGGAACAGAGATTCTTCAGCCTCTCAAACACATTTACAGCCAAGCCTGCATTCCCAAACATCCTCGGCAGGTCAGCTGATATTGCACCAAACCTGTTTTATCATTTTAGTCTTGCATAAACAATGTGGTTGTTCGGAACAACTCCT